TTTCTCGTTGCAGGCTTTTCACGCGTGTTCAAGGCGCTCAATGCATCGGCTACAAAGCACAGACTAGCAGCGGTCAAGTTGGTGCACTACGTCGCTCCCTCATCTCAGTCTACGCGCAAACAACATCCACCCGATCGTAGGGCGCTTCAAAAAGAAGTTCAAGTGCATGCTTTGCTGAGACATGAAAATGTGTTGGAATTCATCGCAGCAAAGGAGATTGGAGTGGGCAAAGATAGCGCGACGTTGGCTAGGGAACGCAATTGGGTCGCGGGACTTTATATGGTGCTGGAACTTGCAGAGGGCGGAGATCTCTTCGACAAGATTCGTGAGTGGGACATGACTGACCTTGGGAAAGAGCAGGTAGACAGGGGCGATGGGTGGAACGCTGGCGAGCACATCGTTGTGCTTCATCTCCTTGGCTCTTACTCTCGGGCATCTGGCTGGCCCCTTTCGCAGCCCCCGACCAAGGTGTCGAAGAGGATTTGGCCCATTTCTACTTTATGCAACTCATCGCTGCGCTTGTGAGTCGAGTTGACAGCAGTGTGATGCTTGGTCACGCGCCTTCCAGCACCCTTGTTCTGACACGCAAGGGGCTGCACATCAACGCAGGAGTACTGCCATGGTCAAGGCATCGCTCACCGAGATGTCAAGCCAGAGAATCTCTTGCTAGACAGTCAGGGTAAGTAGGTCTGCTCTGCTCGACTTGACTTGACTCGCAGCCTGTCGGTCTGCTCTAGCGCTTGCCTTGACACTTTCTCCATCAACATCTCCTCAGGCAACCTAAAGCTGGCCGACTTTGGTCTTTGTGCAGTGTACAAGTACCAAGGCAAGACTCGCGAGCTCAATGGGCCTTGTGGAAGCTTGCCCTACATCGCTCCCGAAATGAATGGTCTACCGTACAAGGGCGAGCCGGTGGATGTATGGAGCGCTGGCGCTGTGCTTTTCGCTATGCTCGTCGGCAGTGAGTGCTTTGCAGTCGTCGATCTGCTTCGCGTCACTCACGTCACCAATTCGCGACCTGCTACTTGCACGCTTGCGCTGTCATAGATACTCCGTGGGACGAGCCGACAAAGAGGAGCCCAGAGTACGTCGCGTACCTCTCTGGCGAACTGTTCGACTATGATCCTTGGCCACGTTTGAGTCCAGATTCTTTTTGTGAGTAGACAGGATGCACGTCTTTGCTTGCCACTGCAGCTCGCAGCGAGTCGCTCATCGCTCTGCGCATTTGCTCGCAATCGAAGCGCTTCTGCAAAAGATGATGTGTCCTGATCCGAGGAAGCGCATCTCTCTGGCAGAGATCAAACGGCACAGGTGGTATCAAAGGTCAGTCTGAGCACGAGCTACCTGCTGTTGGGATCAGTGGAAGGTGAGCTGACGATGTCCACTCATCGCCCCTGGCTGAGGCAGACCAAACCAATGGATTGAGAATGGCAAATGCAAAGATGCGCTCGGACTGGCTGCAGAGCTACTGCACGGCTTAGCGTTGACTGGTGATTTGGATGTTGCTGAGCTCCACAGCGACGGTATGAGAGCCAGTGTACCAGACACGTGAGTCGTAGATTGGGCAAGCCCTTGGGTGGATGGGCAGAATTAGCCTCAGCTTTGCGCGCTCACGCCTGTTCGCTGCTCGGCAACGAACGCATCAGCGTATCCTTCTCCCAGCCCGATCCGCAACGGCGGCCCACATTTTTCGAAAGGAGATCAGAAGGCGCTGCAGCAGAGGAGGCTCGTCCATCGTGGCATGCTTTGAGAGCTCCCTCCACTTTTGTGGCACAATACGCCAGGGAAGATCCGGATAAGAAGATGTATGCCATGTCGCAGCAGATTGAGACTCGCAGGGAAGGACTAAGCAGTACTTTTGATCCAAGGGCTGGGGGTAGTCAATTCACCCAAGCTATGAACCATTTGGTGAGTTGATGTTGAATTATTTTTTTGTTTTTGCGAAGGGAGAAGAGGAAGAGATCGGTAGAGTGATGGCTAATGCTAGTCTGTCCTTCTGCCCTCCTTTCTCTGTCACTGCAAAGACTTCATGGTCCTCCTTGGCGGCTGGAGCCTCGCGCTTTTCGCCGCAATTGACGAGGTTCTTTAGCAAGGCGACGGCAGCACAGATCACGCTGCTTCTAGCCAAAAGGCTGGATCACGAAAAGATTTCCTTTCAAGTCGAGCCGGTGGGCATCGTTCTTGATGAAGAAGAAGATGCACAAGGGCTGCAAGAGTCGACTTTTGCACATCGAGCACCGCCCGTAGCTGCTGCTGCTGCGCTGCTCGGTGCATCCAGGGAAGGAGCGGCAGGCATCAGACGAAGCGATTCGGGTGCTATGAAGCTGGACAGAGGAAGTGTGGGATCAAGAGGATGCAAGATTTCTCTTTGGACGCACGATCGACGCAAGTGCGCCCTGAGAGGAGAGATTCGTGTGGAAGCTATTCTTCGAAAGACGGATGGAGAAGAGAATGAGGAGATGGATATGGACGAGGATATGCATGTTGATTTGAACATGGGTATGGACATGGACATGGACATGGACATGCACTTTGCCTCTCAGACGGAAGAGCGACGAAGAGAGCATTGGGAAAAGGAGCTCAGAGCTGTCGAGATGCAGAGGAAAGCTATGGATGATAGGATCGCAAAGGCGATGATCATCATGAGGAGGAGCAAAGGGAGTCCGTTGGAGTGGAGAAGGCTCTTTAGAGCACTGGCAGGCGATGAAGAAGTTAGAAAAGTAGTCGTCAGTCCTTGATTCTTCTCTTGAGCCTGCTCGGCTGCTCACAAAGTGCGTCGAGTTGGGCGCGACTGCTTTACTCTTTGCAATTCCGTCGGCCTGCAATCTCGCACCGCACTTTAAAGATTCATCTTTATCACGAATGATGACACGAGCATGGCAAATTTCGTGCCTGCTTTCGACGAGTGAGCAATCGAGTTTCTGGGGGAAATGTCTCACTCGGTTTTGCGTGTGCAAATCACGATACCAGACTTTGAGTGCCTTCAAGCGTCGATTCTGGCGCGAAACCGCAAACGTAAATCGGCGAGTCCTTTGGCACTCGCTTTTGGATGCGATGGAGGAATGTATTGCTGCCAGCAGTCACGGGTAGCCAGGAGGATAGCAGCCGCGCTCAACCGGGCAGGTCGGCGAGCAAAAAGGAGTTTTCATCGATGCGCAATTGTGCCACGACGATGAGAGCAAGGGTATTATTGAGCTTCTCCAGCTGTTCCCTTTCATAATCGGCCAGAAACTCTTGCACATTCATCTTGACATCGCTCCTCTGCGTTTTGGAAAGCAGAGCAGCCTGTCTCCTCTCTTCTTCTCTTCTCCTCTGCAACAGCCTGCTCTGCGTCTTGTGCAGATGATCCAACAACCACGAACGCCATTTGCTTTCGTCCACAAACCACAGCAGCACCATGCGAGAAACGTTGGATCGATCGTTCGACTTTGGAACTTCTTGCAGAGACAGTAACCCAGCTGCAAACATTCTCGCGCACAAGTCTCGCACTTCACCGATGGTGATCAGTGCCAATTTGTGAATCTGCGAGTGAGCAGCGCAAATGGTCAGGACATGACCCGTTTGATCCAAGCTTCGTCAGATGCCGCGCGCAGAGCCTACCGAGCACGCTCTTCCACTCACGTGCGTCTCCTCAAGTTTGCCTTTGTCCAAAAGAATCGACAGGATACGTGTAGCCATGCTGCCATACTGATTCTGCACCACATCCTTCAACAGAGCTCTCTTTAGTCTCTTGGCGGTATTGTCGTACTTGACCACAAATTTCTGAGCCACGCGGCTTCCCCCAGCCGAAAGCGTAGTCGTACTACCAGGAGCGGGCTGTATAAATTTGCTCTCCATGCTAGTGTGGGACAAGTCGTCCGTCTGAGAAAAAATGGCCGCGTACTCTGCAAATAGATCGTAGCGAGAAGCCTTGCCTCCGCCGCCAGCTGCTGGACCCGACTCTTTGAGCGATTCCTTGTCCAAGCCTTTCCAAAGCTGTATGGAGGATGCAGTCTGGCCGGAAAGTTCGCTCAGACTGAAGATGCCTGCAGATCCAAACGAATTCGAATGTGAGCGATGATGTCGATGGAAAAGCACTTTCTTTCAATTGATCACTCACCAGATTGATGATCTCCTACCGATGGTCGCTCCTCCTTGGCCTCTCCAATCTGAATCATCAACTGGAATACTTCTGAGCACGTCTCATTGAACTTGCTTCTGATGGCTTGGCACATGATCTGAAATCGGAGCGTGTAGGCGTGGTGAGATTTCGCGCACAAGGATTGGCGATCTCAACGAAACTCACCAAGTCGCGTAGGTGAACGTCGAAGCGAGGATAGTGCAGCCTCAGGAAGATGTCAGGCTGCGAGAGGCAAACGTACAAAGCAAGTGGCATCGCCACGTGAGCGATTTGCACACGTGCTGAGCTCAATCGGAGAAGCACGTCACTCACATCAATCTCAAGATTCTCCCTCTCAGCATCGCCCTCGTCTGTCCCTCGCCCACGCAGCAGCTTTTCGGAAGTCGCGCTCTTGCCGCTATCCACCTTTCGCTTTTTGCTGCTGGCGCTGCTGCTACTACTGGCGCCTTTCCTACTCGAGCCGGATTTTGATCGCTTTGCATCTCGTCTCTGTGAGATGCCGAAAGATCGTGAGATACGTCAGTCTGCTTTGCTTTGTCAACATGACCAGACTCGTGCAAGCCGTGCGTGGCGGAAGCACTCACGAGCAGACCAAGTCGGCCCGACCCTCCGCCAAATATGCCGCCAGCGCCCATGGCGTCACCTTCCCAGGCTTGTTGCTCTTCCCTTGCCATCCTATTCTTGACGGTTTCGACAATCTCTCGATCCGTGCCAGTCGACAATTTGGCGCCTTTGATGGCTTGTCTTTCCCTTTGAGACCAGCCGATCTCTTTGTCTCGTGGGTTCGTCTGCTGGCTCAGTACCGAAGGTTGCAGGTAGGCTTTATAAAGCATGTCACGCAGGACCAAAGAAATCTCATCTGCTCGTCGACGATCGTGGCCATTCTCAGAAAGCCGATCGATAATGTCGCTCGCCTTGAGCTTGCCGTTCAGCAGCACCTCGCGCGCGACAGCCCCGCCCTGCAAATGGTAAAATCGCCGAGCGAGTCAGACGCGCGCCGAAGCATGTGTATGCGCACGCGCACGCGCACTTCACTCACTTCTTCTCCAAACTCTTCTTGGGCAGTCTCAATGTACCTCCCGAACCTTAGACGAGGCAACACAGCATCGGGATTGATTTCAAAGTACTCCGTTCCCTCATAATTGCTCTCCTTTTCCAAGTCATCCGTATCCGTCTCGAAGATGAAGCCTTCCCTGTCCAGTCTGACGTGCCAGCACACATTGTGCTGTATAAGGACCAGAAGGGTTTGTTGAATCAACCTTTTGGATTTGAGAGGGGATGAGGCGGAGATTGACGCGAGCGTAGCTTGGGCCGCGGCTGTTTGGGCAGCTGCTAGACCTGCTGCGGAAGTCGAGGCACCCTCTCCTCCACTGCCTCCCGCGTGAGCAAGCAGATCGGCGGTGGTCAATCCGGCAGTGGCTACCGTAGTGGTGGTGGCCAGGAATCTCTGCAACTCGCGAAGACTCAACCTGCCCCGCTCCAGTAATGTGCAGGCAACTCTCTGGGAACGTGATGCGGCAAGGAGGTGAGCATTCGACGCAAGTCTGATCCCAATCTTATAGCGGACGCTGCTTTGAATGACTCTGCGAATATCACTCACATGCGCTGTTGGCCCAAAATGATCCCGGATGATGTCCTCGCAAAGCTTGATCTTGTCCCGACTGTGCATCGGCGAGGAAATCATCTTGTCCTGCAACTATGCCACGAGGTCTATACGCTAGTAGAGGTAAACAGCTGAGTCGTGGCTCCGGTGACAGGAGCCAGGCACGCTGGGATTGTCGAATGTTTGCGCTTGTATGCAAAGCAAGTGTGTGGTGAATGGAGCAGATGAACTGGGACTTGTGTGTCTTCATGCAGAATTTCTCGGATTGTGCTGCCAGAAATGACTCGCCGTGCTCGGCGCAAGAGGAGCTAGGTGGGTGGGAGCCAGATCGAAAGGATGGCAACTGGTGGCAGCGATCTCACGTGTCGAGTGCGAGCATAGTCGAGCTTACATCTCACATCACGTTGCAATCAAGAATGGCGGTCTTGCAGTCACGGGTGATTGACTGGAAGATGGAACACACGGCAGCTTGATGCGCACCATCGACTTGAAGCGTGAGTCACGAGTCATTCGCGATTCTTGATTGAATCTTGAATTTTGAATGTTCTGTCCCAAAATTCAAGAAATCTCCAATCACCAGGCGGGCGTGTCACACGTGATTGCTGGTTGCATGACCATGATCGAGCGTAGCGACCACGTGGTGCGGCTGAAGTCAAACCTTGAACCCTGCACACCGCGCACGCTGCTGCATTTGCTGGAGATGTGCTGTGCTGGTAATGATGCGTGTGGCTGAGCGCATGATGAGAGCCGAGCATGGCCATGGCCAT